GTATGTTGAAATTCTAATGTCTTATGTGCTGGTATGGGAGGTGGGGCCTTCGGGAGGTGCTCAGGTCGTGAGGGTGGAGCCCACGTGAATGGGATTTAATGTTCTTATGAAACAGGCCTCACAGGGTTCTGTAGCCCCTGCCACCATGTGAGGCCACAAGACGTCAGGGACCCAGAAGGGGGCCCTCACCCAACCACGATCATGCTGGCACACTGATCTCCGACTGCTAGCCTCCGGGACGGTGAGAAATGCATTTTTATTCTTTGTAAGCTACGCCATCAGTGGTATTTTGTTACAGCAGTCCAAATGGACAAAGACGCTGAGCATAGCCATTTTTGTTTTCAAAATTCTTTCTGACTAATTTAGATTTTCCTAGAGGTGAACTAGATGCTACTTTGAGTCGTGATGCTTACATTCATTCAAGTAAACTTTAATAAATGTAGGAAGCGATCCCTTTCCTGTAAACAGTAGTTTCAAAACACAGTTTCCAGCTCAAACTAGGAAGAGGATCCAGAGCCGAGGAACCCAGCAGGCTGCCACATGCTGGGCATGTCCCTGGTGTCAAGGACCCTTCTTAACCCCATTCCGCACACGTGCACTGCTCTACGGATGCCTGCCATGGGTCACACCTTGGCCGGAGAACTAATGTTTGGAAGATTCCCTGCAAATCGTTCCCCCTGACGGGAAAGACAATAATCATCCTTACAAATGTGCTACACAGCTGCATCATACTCGATCCTTTGTGGGGAGTCGTGCACAGTAAAGCACTGAGAGCAAGCTGACAGACCTGAATTGCCCTTCCGGCTCTGCATCTTCAGCTGTGTGACTTCAGACAAGGCACTCGGGGTCTGGATCCCAGCTGACTTACAGTGATAAAGCAGATCTCTGCGGTCTTTCCAGATCTAAAAAGTCTTCTCCGTCTGTGGAGTGTCACACACACATGCACTTTAAGGGAACAGGTGACTGACTATATGCTAATCTAAAATGTCTGCTTTCTCATTCGGGGCAAGTTTCTTAGACACTTACACCCTGAGACGTCCCGTATTTCCTATTTTCTGAATTGCTAAGATTTGGCCCTTGCAATTATCTGGTCTCCAGAGGTATGGAACACAATAACTTAGTAGTCCCCAGTTGGCGCCTCCTTACTCTCCTCTCCCTATGTAAAGACTCAGAAACAATCCCTTAGTCACCTAGTCTAGAACCTTGCCAGAGGTTGGTGTCATTCTAATTGGTTTACTCTTTACAGAAATCACTTTTATCCCCTCTTTGAAAAGGAGGACAATTGTCACCAGTCTCTAGGCTTTGGTGACCTTGGCTCATGTGCTCTCAGCTCAATTGCTCTCCTGTGCGCTCCTCCGGATGATCAGGGGCTGGGATCCTGCCAGTTGTGCTTTCCCAGGCCCTTGAACCCCGGCTTTCCGTTGCATGGAGGCTCCGGGGGACCCCGGAGGCTAAGAAGAGGGGAGAAGTGACTCTTTTCCCCCCTTGGTTGTCAGTTTGGGGCGGGAGCAGCAGCAAGGTCAGCCTGTAAAGCAGCAGGGCGTGCACGGGGGGGGGGGGGGCGGGGGGGGGGGGGGAGTAGCCTGGCAGCGCCCCCGCAAGGGCCTGCTCTGCAGTATCCACTCCTGACGCCTGAGTCTCAGCCACACGGGTTCAGGGAGGCCCTGGTTTCCTGTGTTGCTCTTTCAGTAACCTGATTTTTTTTTTCTTTTGGTCCTCTAGCCTTTCCACCATCCTTATAATGAATTTTTATATTAAGTTCCCTCTGCTTGAAATACCTAAATGGTTTCTCTTTTCCCAAATGGATCCTGACTAATACTATATATAATTTTCAGAGCTTGAATCCTTAAACAAATTTAAAGCTCCTCTGTGATCTTTATTTTGAAATCTGGAGCTTCAAAAGTCTGGATACAACCAGCTGCTCATTTCACAGAATCAAACCAACAGAACGTACGGGGGAAAAAAAAAAGCGTTCTTGTCAAACTCCAGTAAACTTCTAAAAAAGGTCCAAATTATTTAATGCATTGAAAAGTGTTCATCACAGCACCTCATCATTTGCTGTTTGACAATATACAGGCTATGGAAATATTTTACTCTGACAATACTCACTATGATGAAATTCATTCTACAAACAACTTTCTTCAGCGTATTTTTTTAAAACTCAGGATTATACAAGACCACCTGATAAAAATAGGCACAATAATTCCTGGGCTTTTAGTTTCGGAGTCTGTTTTCCCATCTGTTAACCAAAGTCTAAGTCTATACAACCAAAGTAAAATGGAAGATTGTGTAATTATCTTCTGACTCAGAGACAAATAAGAATATCAGAGTAAGGAAGGACATCTGTGCTCATTTGATTCAACACCTGTTCAGATATAGGATTCCTTTGAAATACCTAATAACCATGGTTGTGGATATCTAGGCTCTGTTTGAATATCCTCAATGATGGAGAAATCATTACCTTGCCAGACAGCCCATTCATTTGTTAGACAGTTGGAATTTCCAAGAATGTACACCTTTTATTAAGCCCAAGGATGAGTAGGCATGACTATAGCTTTTACTCATGGGCCCTGGTTATTCCATTTAGGTTTAAAAAGAGTAACTAGATTCCCTATTCTTCTTGAAAGCTATGTAAACCAATGTAGAGATAGCTATGCTGTTCCTTCATGGAAGCAATTCTAGCATCACGGAGGCAGGTCAGTGACATGGGGAAGTTCTCAGTGTCAGGAGGATCTTCAGATTACAAATTGAAGGCTTACCTCTTCCCTGGAAATGATGAAGTTGAAAACATAACAGGTCTTCCTTTCACACTTCTGAACAGGCTCTTTCAGAAGGCATAGCTCTACCCCTTCCACAAAGAGGCAAACTTTCAGAAAGGTCTTAGCTACAAGTGAGGGCATCATAAGGTACATTGTCTTTAAGGACCCTCCCCTTTATCCGGAAACATGAGGGTCTTACATAACCAAGAAAAACATACTTTTTTGAGAAGGTGAGCCAAAAATATTTATTGAAAATATTTCCTGCACATCATTGTGCTAGTGCGAATGGTGGTGGCAGAGCAAACTGGAGATAAAAGGAGAGATGGATGGAAACACATTCTAGAATTTAGACGGGGACTTAATTTTAAATGGTTTTGCATGTCATACCTAGAAGCTTGGCTATTAACTTACTTACAGCAAAGAGGAGCCACTAGAGACTGGTAAACATGATTGTAGTTGTACTATAGAAAGATTTTCCGGGTGGCAAGGTAAAGCACGAATTGGTGGGAGACAAGAGGTGTGGTAGGTCAAGTAATCAGAAGTGATAAACAGGTGAAGAAGATGGTGTCAGTGGGGCTGTTCAGGATGAGGATCAAGTCAAAGGGGTAGAAGAAACAGGATTTAGCAACTGACTGTGGAGGATAAGGAAGAGGAACAAAGAGATGATTCTCAGGTTTCTGGCTTGGGCGACCTGGCAGATGGTGGAGTCATTCACAAAAGAAGGGGACACAAGAGGAATAGCAAGTTTAGGAATAGCAAGTTATTGGGGTTAATGAGTTCTGTTTGGGGCAGGTTAGATCTAGATCGTGACAACACAGATGTCTCACAGGAAGTTGGGTAAGTGGATCTGGCTCTCAAGAGGGATGGGGCAGGAAGTGTAGATTTTGGAGTCATCAGCATGTGGGTAGTAGCTGAATCTACGGACAGTATGAATTTCTTTCTATCATTGATTCATGTACTCATTAATCTATCCATGGAATTAATATTTGCTGTTTACTTTATACCAGTAACACTGGACGGGTAGCTGAATGCATATGCAGCAGTGAACAAGGGACAAAGTTCTGGCAAAGTTCTCCTAGGGGAAAGGAGAACTAGAATAAAAAAGAAAATACCATACAATGCCAGATAATATTAGTACTCTCAAGAAAAATAAAGGAGAGTAAAGAAACAGAGAGTGTTAAGGGATCAGAGAACTCCTCTCGGAAGAGGTTACATCTGAGCAGAAACCTAACAGAAGAGAGAGTAACCCACAAGAAGACAGAAGGGAGGAGGGTCCTCTGTGGAAGGACATGGATGGACAAAGGCCCTGGGGTATAAGCCTATCAGACCTGTTTGAGAAACACCAGGGATCTTCCAGGAGAGTGTGCAGCATAAGAACAAACAAGGACCAAGAGCAAGGACAGAACTATGGAGGCTATCAACCTTCCAAAATGGGAACAAAAAAAGGAGACTAAGGGAGACCAGTTAGAATTATAGAAGGAAGGGGGTGAATTTTGTATTCTGTGGATTTAACACCATAGTTTCATAGTTCTCTTCCAAGATATCCACCATCCCTATTCATAATGGTGCTTATATGCGTAGCAGTAGACTAAACCAAGAACTCATCTCTCCCTCCCTTACTCTTTAGCTACAGAGTCTTTCTATAGTTTGGTGAAGGCCTGCCTCTGAGCCTTTGCATGTTTTGTAGGAAGGGGTGGGGTGGGGACCACCTTCTTCTTCAGCTTCCGGATTCCACTGAATGGTAATGTCCTCAGGGAAGCTTTACCTCAAGCCTGGACACAAAGATTCGTTCTCCAGTTATTCACTACTAAAGTCATTTGTTCTCCTTTGCGACTAAAGACTTGTTTGTTTAATGTTCATCTCCTCCTAGACAATGAACTCGATAAGGGTGGAAAGCACATCTGTGCTGTTCAGCCCATATCCCTGAAGCCTTTGTAGCACCAGATATAAAGTACATGCAGGGATCATTCTAGGTGTACTTGCCCTACAGACAGACCAATTACTCTCACAGCAGGACCCAGAAACCCTTCGTCTACCTCTACATATGTGGAAAACATTGCTTCACTCCCACTGATCCTCAGAGCAGAAATTCAAAAGAAAGGACTATGAGTTTAGTTTAGATTCAGGCCAGATGATATTTGATTGTTTCCCTTTGGTCCACTACTTCTTTAGCAAAATAAATAAGTTCAAATTGTTTATTATTTTTTTAATAAATAAAAAGAAATATTTGTTCTGGTTGCCACTCTGTTAAAAAAAGGGGGGGAGAATGTTTAGTTTTGGTCTGCAATCATTAGCCTCTTGTCATTTGTCTTCATTTTGTACATCGTTTTATTTATTTAAATGCTCAATTTTAAAAAGAAAAAAATGGACATCAAACTATGGATATAATTAAGGGACTGGATAATATGTCTTCAGTAGCAATCTTTTCTGAGATTGAGAATGCTGGTTTTCATTTAATTCTCTCTCTTTTTAAAGCTTCTAATAATGGACCTTGAAAGTTTGTTTGGAGGTTCCAGCAGGGAGCCCAGCTACTCCTATACTCTTGACAGAAGAATGGTCCTCCTCAATCAGGGTAGGTGGTCCTCTTCCACCCAGCACACAGCCTGGGGAGAGACATACATGGAGTGGTGACGAAGGAAGCAGACACCGGCCTAGTCAGCCAGATCAGTTGAATCAACCCTGGCAATCAACGGGGTGCGACAGATGTCCCAGCCAGATCACCCTCACATCCCATTTAATTCTCTTTGACCTTAAATATCCCAGGGATTGGTCCTAAAACCCATTAACTTTATTTGGATTACATAAACATTATTAACCACAGCTATTCTTCAGCCATATGTGTTTAGGGTTTCCTTTCAGGTCATTACGTAGACTGATGCTACGTGCATCACAGCAGATAGGCACACGCTTTTTCTTTTTTCTTTTCTTTTTCTTTCTTTCTTTCTTTCTTTCTTTCTTTCTTTCTTTCTTTCTTT